TGAGTGAGAACCTGATTGAGTTTACGCAGTATGTGGAGACCCGCCAGCGCGAGCTGCTCAACGCGGGCGTCCGCAACAGAATCATCGTCGCAAACGAGGCGCTTCGAAAGACAAGGTGTGCAGCGCTGTTGTATGTGTGTGCTGTGTGGGTGTGCTGTGTATGTGTGTGTGTGTGTGTGCTGTATGCTCTCTCTCTCTCTCTCTCTGTGTGTTTGTTGCTGTGTGTGTGTGTGTGACGGCCTCTGCGTCGGCGTCAACAACTCCTTCGCCCTCCTCACCTCATCTGCACATCTGTCCCATTGTCCTCCTCCCCATCGCTGCAGCCCGCTGCTGGTCACCTCCCTGCGCACGTACATCGGCAACAAAGACAACGAGCAGGTGAGCACGCAAACACCATGCTCTTCCTCATATGCGCTTCTCCGTGTGCGTGCGTGTGTGTGTGTGTGTGTGTGTGTGTGTGGGTGGGTGCGTGCGTGTGCGTGCGTGTGCGTGCGTGTGCGTGCGTGTGTGTGTGCTTCCCCCCACTGCTCACATGTGTGCGTGTGCGTGTATGTCCTTGTGCCCCTGCGTGTTGCCACTGCCTGTTGTGGTCCGTCAGGCAAAGGCGTCGCGCAATTACGCGATTGAGGAAGCGCTCAGCGCTGTGCACGACATCATCATGGGCGTCAGCAACACCGAGGGCGAGGCAGCAAGGTCGAGTGTGTGTGTATGTATGTGTGTGTTTATGTGTGTGTATGTGTATGTGTGTATATGTGTGTATATGTGTGTGTCTGTGTGTCCAGCAATATCCTTGCGCTTTTGACCGTTTGTGCGAGATACCATGCTTCTCACATGCTTCTGACGTGATTGTCACGTGATTGTCACGTGCTTCTCACGAGCTTCTCTCATGCCCGCTGCTGTGTTGTGGGAACGCAGGGAGGAAACATCCAGCAACACATACTGCCAGACCTTCGACGAAGCAATGGCAGGGGTGCGCCCACACCTCGTTGTGTTTGGCTTGCTTGTTGCCCAACTCATGCCTTCTTCTCACGGTTCTCCACATGATGGCAAGCTGCACATCCACATGCAACACACTCACCGTCACATCTATATTGCATCACATCTGCCATGTTTGAAACGCGTTTAGTTGCATGCCGTGAACGTTGCTCCCATGGATCCGCAGGAGCTGCACACCGACATTGAGAATGTCCTTCAACATGCGTGAGTCATTGGCGGCAGCTGGGAGTGGGCCGCTGATAAAATCCATCCTGTACAACGGGAACGTTTTGGGTTGCCTGCACGCATTCACGCATTCACACAGTACTCATCCCTTCTCGCTCATTGCATCACGTTTACTGCCTCTCGCTGATCCCACACCTCTCTCTCTCTCTCCACATGAAATACAAACACACCAATCACCAGTGAGGACGTGGCCGAGGCGACCAGCAACCCGCGCCGTGCTGAGGTTGTTCGTGCGGCGCTTGGCTCCCTTCGCAAGAGCGCGGACGCGTTCACGGCCGCAGCCCCCGCGTGAGTGCACGTGGCGATGGGAGTGGTGGTGGTGGTGGTGGTGGTGGTGGTGGTGGTGGTTACATGAAGCTACGGCACCGCGAGGCACGTGGATTTGTTATTGTTGCGCCATTTGTTGTTGTTGGTGTTGCTGCTGCTGCTATTGTTGTTGTTGTTGTTCACACGTGTTTTCACCCGTGTCTTTGCTCCATATGCGTTATGTATACACTAGTGAGAAGCCAGATCTTGCTGCCCAAGTTCGAGAGGTGAGCAACTGTGGTGGTGCGCGCGCAGTATGCCACCTTCGATTGCGTTTTGCCATTCTGTACTTGCTCTTTTCTCTACATTTCTCGTCTTTTCACACATTCTTTGGCATTGCCACCACTGCTGCTCTCGCGTTTGCTGTGACAGCACATGCAAGGCCTGGACCAGGTGATTCGCACAGCCATCGCCGAGCAAGTGGCCGACGTGGTCATGTGAGTGAAGTGAGGGACTCAAAGAAACAAAGTGTGTGTGCGTGTGTGTGTGTGTGTGTGTGGGTGTGGGTGTGTAAGCATGTGTGCAAGCACATGTGTACGTGCAGATGTAACCGCGAGCATGCACAAATCACACAACACATCCACGAGTACCACTACCCTCTCACATGCCGCTCTTCTCTGCATATTTTGCAGTGAACAAGAGAATCACGAACCGTCGACTGAACTTGTGGCCAACACCACGCGTGCTGATGAGCCACCAGAGCACTTTGAAGGTACACCAATCAACCCCACCCCCTCAACTGTGCCGTGGCTGTAATTGCACGTGTGTGTCCTTGGTTGTTTGTGAGTGATGGCTAGCTCGAGACTGTAGGAGCACTCACATCCCTCACACGTCCACGTGCGCCATAATTGCGTTTGTTTTGCTGATGCACAGCTGCTGTCAAGCGCTTCCACGATCGCACGCAGCACCTGCTGAAGGTGCGTCGTTTGTCGCACAATCACGTGTGCATGTCCGCGGCTGTGATACGCACACATTGCTCAGCTTCCAGCAAGTGCTCACACGTTCACCTTGGTACTCTGCCAATGTTTGCATTCATTCTCTCAAACCTACATCATGCACGCATACACGGTAACACGTCCACATGCAACCATATCGCCCTGTTTAGGCCTCTGAGCGCATGGCAAGTGTCTCTGACGATACCCGTCGCGTCAACATCATCAACACGACCAGCAAGCAAGTCGACAGCTACGCCAAGCAGGTCAGTCGCTGGCTTGAGCTTGTGTGTAAGCGTGTGTGTGTGTAAGTGCGCATACGTACGTTCTCTTGGTGAGAAGGCGATGTGATGCATCTCATTGCCACCTGCCCAAACACTCACGCTGACATTGCATTGCGATGGCTGGTATCTTGTGCACTGTAGATGGAGGCTGCTGCACGCGTGGTGCACTCCAACCCGCAGGACGAGACGGCCCAGCAGCATCTCGCCTTGATCAAGCAGACGCTCGAGCACAGGGTTTGTTCCACTGCGTTGTCAAATCGCTGTGTGTGTCTGTGTGTGTGTGTGTGTGTGTGTGTGTGTGTGTGTGTGTGTGTGTGTGTGTGTGTGTGTGTGTGTGTGTGTGTGTGTGTGTGTGGGTGTGGGTGTGGGTGTGGGTGTGGGTGTGGGTGTGTGAAGCCGAGGTTGTTTGGTTCTCACCCGCACGTGTGTGCGTGTGTGTGTGTGTGTGCGCGCGTGTAGACGGACCTGCTGAAGGCGACTGTGTCGTCGATGGTGGATGCGCCGCGTATGGTTGCTGTTGCCGGCGAGAACACGCAGGTGCACCTTGACCAGGGCAGCGCTGGTGCTGCTGCAGGCAACACGGAGGCTGTCGAGAACGAGGTGGCTGCCGTTGACAAGCAAGTCCACCTCCTCGTCAACGTCGCCAACTCGGAGGTGCGCAGTGTGTGTGTGTGTGTGTGCGTATGTGCGTGTGCGTGCGCGTGCGTATGTGCGTGTGTGTATGTGCGTGCGTGCATGTGCGCGCGTGCGTGTTTGTGTATGATTTTGGTCCTACTTGTGATACTGCTCACAACTCTCTTTGGTGTTGGTCTGCTGATTTGACGACAGGTTGAGAACTCTGAGGATCCTGATTTCCGCACCCCAATCGACAAAGCAAGCCAGCATCTGCAGCAAGGTACTTTTGTTCTTCTGCATGACATTGCTGTTCTGACTGCTGGTTTTGCTGACACACACACACACACACAATCATGGGTGATGTGAAGCTCACTCGTGTAAACACACACGCACACACAACGCACGTACACGTGACAGTACATCCGCGCGCGACTGCGGACCTGCGTGCGTGGGCGGCGGCACCAAAAGACGACAAGTGCCGTGTGGCGGCGACGAAATCAAGCACCGACCTCAAACGCGGCATTCGCAATCTCCAGCTCGCAGTCAAGGGCGAACCCGTGCCAGAGGAGAGGTAACAAACGCAAACACGCAGTGAGGCCTCGGGGTTGATGTTCTGAGTCGGAAATGCGATGTAAGCGGGTGCATGGGCACAAACACGCACACACATGTACACACACATGTACACACACACACACACACACACACACACACACACACACACACACACACACACACACACACACACACCACACACACACACACACGCACACACACACACACACACACACACACACACACACACACACGCACACACACACACACACACACACAAACATGTACAAATACACAAACACACCGTGATTGTTCTGATGTGTGTGCGCGTGCGATTGCATCAATGTGTTGATCATCACAGCACCGCCACCCCCGACGATGACACCGGACCCGATCTTGCCGAAACCGTCGACCAGTTCCAGTGCGTGTGCGCCTGCCCTCGATGTTCCTATTTCTGCTGCTGTTGCTGTCATGTCGCCGCTGCACCATCACCGCCTCTGCCTTTGGTCGCGCTGCAAAGTACACTTGGTAACCGCAACGGGCGCCCAACACACACTCGTGCGTTCACACGCAAGGGTTTCGTTTTCTTGCTTGTCGTTGGTTGTTTGTCGCGTTTTCGTGCCTGCAGGCAAGAGGCGGTTGCGCGCGAGCGTGGTGGCTTCTCCGTGTCTGACGGCGAGGAGAGTGATGGCGAGGTGCTGGAGAAAGCGAGCAAGCCGGCTCAGCGCAAGAAACCTGCACCCTTGGCGGTACCCACGCAGGCACCAACAGCCACCGCGACCGCCACCTCGTCCTCGTCTGCGCGCGACCAGCAGGAACCGCCCGCGACACCTGAGACGCCGCACACTCCAAGACTCTCCGTCTTTGAGCAGAAGAACCCGCCTACAGGACCCATTGCTGTGCGTTCACGTGTGTGTGTTTGAGTTCGTTTGATTGTGTGTGTGTGTGTGCATAAGTGTGTGCGCATATGTGTGCAAAGGTGTACATATGTGTACATATGTGTGCATATGTGTGCATATGTGTGCATGTCGCCTTCCACGTGAGCGAGCACAACGTTCGTGGCCTAATGCATCGAATGTTGCTTGTCGTGTCCAGGTTGCTGCGTTCTCGCTGAAGAAGGAGACGGACCGCTGGTCTGAGCGCAAGAACCCGATTGTGACGACCGCCAAGAGCATGGCCGAGCAGATGGCCTCGATGGCAAAGATTGCCAGGTGTGTTGAAGGGGGTGTCCACGTTTTGCCTGTGTTCTCCATTTCATCTCGATCTCGTTGCGTGGATGGAATACTCCACAATTGAGAACACACACGCACACGCACGCATGTACGACGTTGTTGCTGAGCTGATGCTTGGTTGTTGTTTCGTGCTACACAGCCACGAGGAGGATGCGCCAGCCGTGCAGTCACCAGGAATCAAGGGCGATATGATCGGCACAGCAAAGGTGTGCTATGTGTGTGTGTGTGTGTGTGTGTGTGTGTGTGTGTGTGTGTGTGTGTGTGTGTGTGTGTGTGTGTGTGTGTGTGTGTGTGTGTGTGTGTTTGTGTGTGCAATGCAAGGCAAGTGTCAGAGCTTGTGTGTGCGCGGATTTCCCTCTTCGACGTGCCTGTCGTGTATGCAATCCCGATTGAACTGATGATGTGTGAGTGTTGTCCAATTGTTACCTGCAGGGCATTGCGGAGCAGGCCAAGAGCATTCGCTTGCAGGCGATGGATGTTGCTGAGAACTGCTCAGACAAGCGCCTCAAGGCCGATCTTCTGTATCTCTGCGACCGCCTTCCAACCATCTCCACCCAGCTCAAGTGCGTTTGTGGGCACGTACACGTGTGTTTATGTGTGTGTATATTTTGTGCGTGTATTTTGTGTGTGTGTGTGTCTGTGTGTGTGTCTGTTTGTGTGTGTCTGTTTGTGTGTGTGGTCGATATACTTCTCTGCTGGTGTGAAGCTGTTGCCATCACCACCCGCCCTTCCCATTCACGCGCACGCACACACGCACGCGCACACGTGTCACTTCCTCTGCATTCATCCATTCCGTCCAGGATCATTGCGTCTGTGAAGGCCGCATCGTCTTCGCAGAGCAGCGATGCAGACGCCATGCTCATCAAGAACGCTCAGGTGCGCTTTTACCACATGCTGTGCATGCCTGTGCAGTTTTGCCTGCTTGCCGCCTCTTGCAGGCCTCACACATGCCCCCCCCCCTCTTGCACGCCCACGTCTTTCTGTGGACAACAACAACAACAACAACAACAACTTAAACAACAACAACAACAACAACCACAACAACAACAACAACAACTTAAACAACAACAACAACAACAACAACTCAAACAACAACAATTTAAACAACAACAACAACAACTTAAACAACAACAACTTAAACAACAACTTAAACAACAACAATCTTGTTGGTTTTACCCTTACCCAACTTGGTTTTGTTTGTGTTTGCGTTGCAGAACCTGATGGACACGGTGCAGCGGACGGTGCGCGCGTGTGAGGCCGCGTCGCTCAAGCTGTTCACCGCCGCCGCCAACACGGCTGTGGCTGCCATTAAGTGGCGCCGCAAGACGCACACCGCGCTCGCTGCCCCGCCAGCATCTTAGCCTGCCTCGTTGGGGGTGTCATGACATGCCACGTCGCTGTTGCTGCTGTCTGCCGTTGACGTTTCTGTTCCTGCTCGTGGTTTGTGTGTCTTTGTTTGCCGTTGCTGTTGTGACTCTTTTTCTGTTTGTCGGCACCACAACAGTCACGGTCGTGCTGCTTGTTCCCTGGACGTGTTGATGTGTTGATGTGTTGACGTGTTGGTGTGTTGGTGTTCACACACATATGCGAATACATGCTTCATTCGTTTGGTGTAGTCATGTCAAAAGAAGAACAAAAAGAAGAACAAACGTCCACAACTTTTCAAAATGCCCAAAAAGTTGTGTTGCTGCGTTTCGAGGCACCGAAATGGCTCGAATGCCTGCAAGGAATGGCATGTTCGCGATGCATGCGACCTCCGTTACCGTGAACAACAAAAAAAACTGAGCTGCGAGAGCGAGCACAAGCAGCGTGCACGCACACACACACACACACACACACACACAAGCACACACAAGCACACACAAGCACACACAAGCACACACAAGCACACACAAGCACACACAAGCACACACACACACATACAAGCATACACACACACAAGCACACACATACAAGCAGCGCACGCACTTTCCATCACCCTCTCCCCACCAAGCAACCACTGCCAATATGGCTGTGCGAACTACGTCCAGTTCACCCCCACCTTGTGTGCTGCCGGTGGTGGCTGTGGTGGCGCTGATGCTGCTGCAGTGCCTGGGCACAGCGATGGCTGCGTCCTCGTCAGGCTGGGTCGATCTGCGGTTCAACGCAAGCTTCCCGCTGTACATGCACACGGAGGATTCGGCCAACTGCAAGCTCATGACCGCGCTAGTGCTGGAGCACATGCACGACACGCTCGGCCTCAAGTACGAGCTCTTCTCTGCCGTCTCCTGCCACGCAGCACCCACCTTCTCGTCGACAGTACCGCCACACACAGGCGCAGACGCGCCTCCCTCCAGTGCTCCGAGCACTACGGCGCAGCCGCTGGTGGAGGTGGAGCTGCAGTGCGGGAGCGCGTGTGTGGCGGCGATTGCGGCGGCGCGGACCCCAATCTGCGTCGTGTTCCGTGGCGTCACCCTCTGCTCCCCGGGCGTGGCAGCCATGTCCCAATCCAAGGATGACAGCTCCTCTGCCGTGTCCACAGCGGAGCTGCCGAGCGCCCGCAACGCGACGGAGCCGCCGCCCGAGACCTCTGGCCCATGGCGCCTGGGCGACAACCCAACCGCGGTGGCCATCTTCTGCGTGGTCATCGTCGTGGTTGTGGCGCTGGCCACCTACGGTGCCGTGCGCATGAAGTTGGTGGCGCGCAGCCAGCGCCGGCGACAGGTGGTGCGCAGGGCATCTGCGCTCCCGCTAATGCGCAGCGACAGCCAGATGAGTGAACCCATGCATCGCTTCAGCCGCCAGCCATCGCAGGAGTTTGTCCGCCTTGCTCGCGCCAGCGTCATGCGTGATCGACAGCGCGTGGGAACCCTGGCCGGCGTCCCCGAATACGACGAGTACGGCCACACAGACTCGGTGGCATACTCCGAGATGGGCTACTCCGACGCGGCCTGGGACAACGCCAGCCTGGCCTCCTCCAGCATGCCATACTCCGACGTCTACTCCAGTGCATACTCAGACGCATACTCCACGTACGCCGCAAGCGCCGCCACTGATGCAACCCACATGACTGCACATGCAAGCACAACAACGCCGGCACCAGAAGCATCATCATCATCATCAGCAGCAGCAGCAGCAGAATCGCAGCATCAACGTGTTGCTGCGCCACGGCCTGCCAGGGCATTTGTGCCGGCCTGGATTCGCGGTGCCGCCCACAAGCTGAGGCGACAGCACCATCCGTCGCCCACCACCACAACAACAACAACAACGCATGGACCGCCGCCAGCACCGGCACCACACCATTCGCAACAACGCTCGGCGCAGCCCCCGACACGGCAGAGGCAAACCTCCAGATTTCGTCTGGGCGACAACGACTACGACTACGCCGAGAACATTGTCTCGGAGCTCTAATCCAAGGAGTGGGTGAGCTTGTGACCGAGTGTGTGAGTGTGTGAGTGTGTGAGTGTGTGTGTGAGTGTGTGTGTGAGTGTGTGTGTGAGTGGGTGAGTGTGAGTGGGTGAGTGGGTGAGCGTGTCAAGGATCTGCGTCTTCAAGACCATCTTGGCTGCAGAACCACACACCGCTTTCCATCTTGCTTGTTTGGTTTTGGACCGCACGCGTGTGTGATGTTGATTCTTGAACTCGTTGGTGGTGTACTGCCTTGAATAAGTTAACTCTGAAAGCAGAGTGTGGCTCACACTGAGCTTGACAGCCAGCATGCGGGAAGGCAAGAAGACGAAGAAGAAGAAGAAGAAGAAGAAAAAGAAGAAGAAGAAGAAGAAGAAGAAGAAGAAGAAGAAGAAGAGATGCACACAGCACAACCAAGAGACGCAAAGAGACATACCATAACGTAACAAACTCACGCACACACAACCAACAGACACACTGACACGCAGACACGCAGACGCACAGACATAACCCCCCCCCCCCCCGCGCACACACACACACACACACACACAGCCGCACAGTCACGCATAGAGTGAGGTTTTAAGACATGGTAAGCAAGGGATTGCCCCAGGCGTCGGTCAAGGCATCATCACGCGTGATGGGAAACTGGCACACGTCGCACTGCACGGCGACCTGCCACAGGGACCGGGGCCACTGCCCATTGCGCTGCACGTTGGGCGGGCTGGCCTTCCAGTCCCAGTGCGTCACAGGCGTCATCCAGTCATCGCCGTAGTTTGCGCGAACGTACGCTTCGGCGTTGCACGGGATGCGCACAAGAAGGTCGAAGAAACGCGTCCAGCACAGGTCAAACGGCGGGAACACGTACTTGTACTTGTTGCCCGTGCGCGCCTGCGTGCCGCCGTTCCACACGCGTTCCACGCCATCGCGCTGGTCACGCTCGTGGTAGAAGAAGAACACGTCCACCTTCAGCTGCTCTCCATCGCGACTCATCTTGCTGAACGAAAGCTCAAAGCCGTCGCTAGGGATGCCGAAGCGGTGCGAGAGACGCAGCCCAACGTCCTCAAACGCTGCCACCATGCCCGGGTCGTAGTCCTCAATGAACATGCCAATGTCGACGTCGTTCGAGTAGTCGATAAAGTCGCACTGCCGATAGTAGCCGAGCAGCGTGCCGCTGCCGATCCAATACGGGATCATCAGCGTGTCCAGCACGCGGCTGACTGATCGCAGCAGGTCCAGCGACAGGTCGCGAAAGTGCTGCAGGCGCGCGTTCCCTTCCCGCTCACCGACGGCAGTGCCGTGGGCAGCGAAGAACCCATCGGCGCGGCGCTGGTCGCAGGACCACAGCACGTGCGACGCCAACGGCTGGCCACCGCGTTGGCCGCGTCTTGCGAGCGGTGATGACGCAGATGTTGCGGCTGGGATGGCTGGCGATGGTGCTTGGTGGCCACGCTGGTGTGGGGCACCATCACGCAAGGGCCGTGTGTTCAAGGGTGTGTGTGCTCGCAAGGCAGCGTTACTGGTGCCTGCAAGCAAGAGGGTTTCGTGCTCAATCACCAGGACAGGGGCTATGATGGTTGTAGGCGCCGTGCTGTGGGACTGTGTCTGCTTCAAGGCGCTCACGCTGGCTGTTTCAAGGGCGTATGTCCATGCAAACGCGGTGGAGCGAAACAGGGGCGTAAACACAAGACACCCAGCACCGTAAGCGCCATGCACGAGGACGCCCGTGCCTGCAGTTGTCATGGATGACCTCGAGGGATTAGCGCTGTTGGGGCGCCTGCTTGCTTTGCCCTGCCGTGCAGAGCGCACGAGAGCGCGTGGCCACTCTTTCTTGGACTTGACATGCCTGAGCTTCACCCCTTGCATGGGCAGGTCGAGGTCTGGATACGTGCGGTCGCCCTTGTCGTCGCCCGTGCGGACGTCGTCGTTGCCATCGCCATCGCCGCGTCGCGCATCGGCCGTCGGTGGTGGTCGTGCAACGTCGACGGTGTGCATCATTGGGTGGTCAGCACGGTTGTTGGCGAGACGGCTGCGCTCGCTGTTTGACGCTGGGGCGCGGATTGGCTGCTCGGCAAACTGAAGGACGGCCGTTGGGCTGAAGGAGCACTCGCGCAAGACCGCCGCAAGCCCGTCCAGCTCCCATGCGTCGTAGACAAAGTGCTCGCACACCTGGGCTTCAGCGAGGTGTTGGGGACGCTGCACGCGGTGCATGCGTGCATGCACCACACATGCGTGGTCTGCGCCGTCACCATCCGCCGCGAGCGGCACGCCAAGAGCGATGCTGCTTGCAAACAAAGCAAGCACAACCACAATACACCCGCAGCCGTTGTTCCTCAACATCGTGTCAGCGCAAGTAAAAGTGCCGTGCGTGATTGTTGTTGTTGTTGTTGTTGTTGTTGTTGTTGTGTGTGTGTGTGTGTGTGTGTGTGTGTGTGTGTGTGTGTGTGGTGCAATGCAACGTACGTGGGTTCTCTGGCGGTATTGTATGAATGACAAGGCACAAGCAAGCGAGCAAGGAGCAGCTAAGCAGCAAAAAGGGAAGACCAAGCAAAGAAGCAACAATGCGGAGCGACAGAACAAGAGACACGCACGCATGCGAAGAACGAGCGAGCATCACAGAGAGCGTAGGCAGAATGAAGACAATGACAAAACACGCAAGGCACCAAGGCAAAAAGGAAAGGGCACAGGCAAGAATGCAGTGGCGCAGTGTGCAGTGCGTGTCCCCCACCCAACAAAGAGGAGAGTGACAGTCGTATTGCACAAGATGACGACGACAACGGCACCAACGGCATGAAACAGCAGCCAAACAGCAGGTGATGTGGCACACGAGCAAAAAAAAAGCCTGGTGAAGTGTCTAGCTCTCGTTCTTGTCGCTGCCATCCGTTGCTTCGGACGCACCCTTATGCTCAGCGCTAGCGCTGGTGTCCGCGCGGCTCTGCTCGTCACTATCCCCGTTGCTGGTGTCATTGTTGTCGTTGTCGCCCTTGCTGTCCTCGGTGCTGTCATCGCCATCTGTCACCTGCTCCACAACAGGGCCATCGCCCTCACCGTCCTCGCCGGGAGACGACGACACCGTCGCGCCCCCTTGCATCTGCGCCATGGCACAAGCGAGGTGGTGAGACGCGTGAATAGGCATGCATGTGTAGGTCATCAGAAGGGGGGGGGGCA